CTTACGGGGAATGGTATGTGCAACAGCGACTCCTGAGGAAGAGAGCACTCGCAGGAGGTGATCAGGGTTTTGCTTTTGGTCACTATAGGCAGTGATGGAGACAGGACCAGAGTAACCTAGTTTCTTGAACGCTTCTTCTAGACTCGGACGGACCCGACGAGCATCGTAACCCTTCGGAATCGGACAGTCTTGCATGTCCCACCACACCGCTATCTTAGCGGCCGCGTATTCAGGCTTTGCCGCTTTATTCCCATACATTCTCTAAACCTTTAGATAAATTACAGACAGACCAATACAAATCCGTAGGCTTTCTAGATAACCAAACTAATGGGCCTAAATGAGAGCCTCTAAAGGTGTGGGCTTACGAAATCTTGTAATGTAAATTCTAAATTATTTATGCGTTTTTAATTTTAACTACGCCAATAGTGGGATTAAATATGTTTTTACTCGGTTTTAATATTTAAAGTATATGACAAAGTATATGATTTCTAATATTTATAAACTTACAAAAAACATATGCATTGTGGCTAAATGTAATAAGTTAAATTTTCTTAGTCTACAAAATCCAAGATTTGTTTTGATATTTTTATTTACAAAATTAATCAAAACATATAAAAATGTTATTTATTTCAATATATTTTAAGTATGAAATTAACTTTTCTTATTAGTGTAAATTATAGGGCATGTCATAAATCAAATAAATTTTAGAGTTATAGGAATTTGTCAGACATAACAAACTAAAAACAATATATGTTTTCAATATTTGTTAAATTGCTGTAAACTAATCCATATTCAAAATATTTTAATACTAATATAAAGGAATTATTTCTTATCTTTTGTTCCATTTGTTGAAGAAAATATTTGGGAAAATGTATTTGATTCTTTAATTCAATATCACATATAAACAGATATGGAAATATAGTAACGAAAATTGCATGGTTTCCTAGACGTAAGAAAACAAATAACAACAGAGAGGAAAACCATGACGATAGGCTGATCACCTTCACTATGTCTTGCAACGGCTGCAACTTCTTCTGATTCACTTTACCA